AGCTGAGCACAAACACACACAAACACTACAACTGTTAAAAAAAACATGTGCAGTCACTGAAACAAAGCTGAAGAACATATACAAGACAAATATTACATTAGAAAAACTTAAAGGCAAATTAGAAATGTTGCAACTAACACTGAAAAAAGTTTAGGTTGAATGACTAAAACTGAAATAAAATAAATAATAAATGAAAAATACTAACATGACAAAAGCACATTAAAGAACCTCAAAGAAAAGCAACAAAGTCAACAGTACATATAAGGCGCGCAGGTCTCCGTCCAGAGAGTGACCGACCAGCACAGCGTCCGGTGGCAGCAGCTGCAGCAGTCTGGACTGAACGTCTGCCAGACGCGTGGAGACGGGCGCGAGGATCGCTCGCGTGATTCCTGAGAACCTGAGACACACACACACTCAATCACACGCAACACTACAGACCTGCACATAAACGTGTGTGTGCGTGTGTGTGTGTGTGTATACCTGGTGCAGTAGTCGATGATGGGGTTGGGTGGTTTGACGAGCTCGTCCAGCACACAGCATCCACTGCTGTCCACCAGCGCCACACGCGTGACCTCTAACCCCACACACGTCAGACACTGAAACACAGACACATGTCAGAGCGCCGCTGGCCAATCACAGCGCAGATCACTGTATCCACTCACCATCTCACAGTCCAGACCGAACAGAGGACTGCTGTCCGTAACATGCCCGTCGCTCACTGTACACACGAACTCCTCGCAGCCCCACCCACCTGCATGGCATCATGGGAAAATGACATCAGCATGTGTGTGTGTGTGTCGTATGTCTCAGATATGTGTGTGTGTATGTGTGTCTCACCCTTGACAGGATACTTCTGTTTGATCATTTCCTGTTGGGTCAGCAGGAAGTTGCTCAGCCCCGCGGCGTTCAGACCGAAGCGGCGAATCACGGGATGCCACCTCAGCGCAGCTGCGACACACAGCGGGTCATGTGACACGGGTCATCAGCAGCCGACAGATCGGCGAGGAACGAATGACTCACCTGGTAGTGCCGCACGCGTCTCTGCTGCTCTGTCACACACCGTGACCGCAGCGCTGAGGAGGTCAGAGGTCAGCAGGTCACCAGAAGAGGGCGCCAGAGTCCATCTCTGAGAAACACAGCACTGATCAATAACTACAGTCAGCAGCGCTTGTGTAACAATAAAGATGTGTGTGTCACTCACTGCGCTGTATTTGTCTCTCAGGTGTCTGAAGAGACTGAAGTATCTGTAGAAGTGACTCTGTGTGAGTCCATCCAGGACCATCACGTTCACACGGGACACTCGCTCATCACCGACACCGAACCAGCTGAACACACAACACACCGTCACCTGACAGTCAAAGAGAGTGAGTGTGTGTGTGTGTGTGTGTACCTGGGCTTCCTCACGCTGTGTGAGCGTCTGAGTGTAATGTAGTGGATCAGATCACACACGTCCTTCACCGACAGCACATCCTGATCCACAGAAACACAAACACACACACAGTGAATGAACCAGAATCCACACACTGACTTCAAGTGCAGCACAGTGACTGAGTGAGTCTGAATGAGTGAATGTGAATAAATTTGAGTGAATGTGAATGAGTGAGTCTGAGTGAGTGGAGTGAGTGTGTGTGTGTGTGTGTGTGTGTGTACCTGGGCTTCCTCACGCTGTGTGAGCGTCTGAGTGTAATGTAGTGGATCAGATCACACACGTCCTTCACCGACAGCACATCCTGATCCACAGAAACACAAACACACACACAGTGAATGAACCAGAATCCACACACTGACTTCAAGTGCAGCACAGTGACTGAGTGAGTCTGAATGAGTGAATGTGAATAAATTTGAGTGAATGTGAATGAGTGACTGAGTGAGTCTGAGTGAGTGCATGTGAATAAATCTGAATGTGTGTGTGAGTGAGTCTGAATGAATGTGAATTAGTGAGTGAATGAATGAATGAATCTCATTATATACAGATTGTGTCAAAGCAGCTTTACAGTATTAAATAGGAAAAAGTGAGTCTGAGTGAGTGCATGTGAATAAATCTGAATGTGTGAGTGAGTGAGTGAGTGAGTGAGTCTGAATGAATGTGAATTAGTGAGTGAATGAATGAATGAATCTCATTATATACAGATACAGATTGTGTCAAAGCAGCTTTACAGTATTAAATAGGAAAAATAGTGTAATAATGCAGAAGGATAACAGTAAACACTCAATTTTCAGTTAAAGTCAGTTCATCATTGATTCAGTGATGTCAGCGTCCGGCTTAGTTCAGTTCAAATAGTATCTGTGCAATCAAGCTGAGCGGTTCTGAACGAGTGACCTGCGAGTTGAGCTCCAGTCTCGCTGTCTTCTCTCGAGAGTCTGAGATCAGACTGTCCACTGCCTTCCTCTTACAGCACGAGGATGAGGAGGATGAAGATGAGTCCATCTGTCCTTCAGCTGATCGAGTTTCACTCTTCATCTCATCTATTGATCCACTGTTGATGTTGATGATGTGCAGTTCTTCAGTTCATCCCTGAAAACTCAATCTGATCTACATATAATCGGATTCACGAATAACTAAAGCGCACCGCGTTTCATTTCGTGCCTCATGACGCCAGTCTAGTGTAAATACAGCGATATAATCACGTAAAAACACGGGCGGCAGCGGCACGTGCGCTCGCTGATCTACAGCTCTGAGATCGACTAGCATCGGCTGATCCGCAGCTCTGCGTGCGATTACTGCCGCTCTCGACCAATCACAGGCTCCGCTGGGGAACGCGACCGGAAGCGCAGCAGAACAACGGAAGCGGTGTCGCTGACTCGCTGTGCGGATAGTTAAAAGTGTTATTATGCAGTTGTGTGTTAAGAATTTCTTGAAAGGTAGAACAATTCAGGTTAAAATAGGAGCAGACTTGTCAAGCAAGCATGTAGCCGAGAATGGAGCGCCCCAGGGGAGTGTAATAAGTCCCACATTATTCTCAGTAAGGATAAATGGCATGTATGTAAATGTATCAGCAGGCATGGGAAGATCATTATTGGAGCAGAGGAAGAAATGTAGAACATATAGTTAAGATAGTGCAAGATGGTATTCAGCAGGTGGAGAAGTGGGGAATAAAATGGGGTTTTAAATTTTCTGTTGAAAACACTAAAGTAATGTTTTTTACAAGGAAGAAAATCAATGAAAGCTTTCATTTAAAACTATACGGAAGTCATTTGGAGAGAGTTAATAAAATTTGGTTTTTATGAGTACATTTTGATCCAAGGTTAACATGGGTGGACCATATAAGGAATGTGGAGGATAAGTGTAAAAAAGTAATAAATACCATGAGATGTTTATCAGGGTTAGAATGGGGAGCGGATTATCAATCACCTAGAGTATCACTATAGAGTATCACTGTCACTGTAGAGTATCACTATACTATCACTATAGAGTGTCACTGTCACTATAGAGTATCACTATACTGTCACTATAGAGTATCACTGTCACTATAGAGTATTACTGTCACTATAGAGTATCACTATACTATCACTATAGAGTATCACTGTCACTCTAGAGTATCACTGTACTATCACTATAGAGTATCACTATACTGTCACTGTTACTGTAGAGTATCACTATAGAGTATCACTGTCACTATAGAGTATCACTATACTATCACTATAGAGTATTACTGTCACTATAGAGTATCACTATACTATCACTGTAATGTCACTTTTACTGTAGAGTATCACTATAGAGTATTACTGTCACTATAGAGCAGTGCTTCTCAAAGTCCGGACCCGGGGGGAATTCAGTCCAGACCCGCCTCCATTTCTTATTTCAAGAACACTAATTATTTCCTACTTTGATAAACGCATGTTAAACTTGTAAATCATATGTTTAGTTTTTTTAATAGACAGACCGCCACAAATAGATTTCCCAAAAGGCTTATGCTTCATTGAATAAACTGAGAGCTGCACGTTTCAAAATTAAAATGCAGCGCGGGTGTTTTTATATGAATGTATGTTTGAAAAGAACCAACCGTCTTCAGAAAAGCTTCTATGTCATTTTCATTTTGTCTTTCCTGTAATGTCTGATAAAGTATTGTTTATTAGATTACAGCCGTTTC